TCCATGGTGTCCAATCACACCACAGAGTATGTTCAATGTGGCTTGCTAGTGGAACAGGCTTTTAAGATACCAACAAAGCTGTTTGAAATACTTTGCAAGAGCTTGCCAAACGTTTCACAAAAGCTTCCTGGACACACAGCACTTATAGAAATAAAAGCCTAACAAGGTCTAAAAGTAGGGTGAATCCTGTGATTTCTATACCTCAAAAAGATGGAGAACTGTCGCTATGAATCAAATCTGGTAGGGAGGTACACCACAAAAACTACAAAGGCAATAAAAAGCAAACCGGAAGTTTTCACAATGTTCTTGCCAATGCTGTGCTTTCAATGTTAGGTTGAATGGTTCTTTAATACTGAACTGTAAAGTATAATAATCCCACTTAACGTACTTACATATATACACACAGACACACACAGAATCAGCCTAAATTCAAGCAGTGGGTGGATCTTCAATCTTCAAGTACCACCCAGCACGACAACAGTCAATTCAAAAATCAAGTTAGCCAGGTAGAAAATTATTGGCCAGACAGCGACTGCACCCTATCCGATGCAGTCACTGTTCAGAAGTGCCATTGTATTCAGAGAGCCAGAAATGCCATTGCTGTCTGAATACATCAGCCAGCAGAAGAGATTTCCTCCATCTATGCTGATAGAGGTTGATGGTGAAAATTATAGAAGAATCGAGCTCAAGAGAGAAATTTGAGCTGTGCATCCTAAGTAACCTGCAAATCTCTGGCCTGTTGTAATAGGTGGAATTTTTATTTGGTCACTTCTGTGGTGCATTTGCGTAATCATGGCATTAAACACTATTCTTTTTACAACAAAACATATACAGTATGCTAAAAGATAAAGACATTAATAATGTAAACAACTGGGGGATTGCATAGCTCAGATATCACTTCCATCAAACAAGTCCAAAAACGACTGCTATATTCTTCGGAATGATACATTCTAAGGCTCCATGTACACTGGGCTTAAAAAGACGCCAGTTCAATTGGCAGAAAATAAACCCCCAAACACTCATACAGAGTTCTTTTGTACAATGTTTAGGTGCAATTAGGAGTGTTTGCGTTTTTGATTGGAGTTTTCTAGCAGAGAAAAAAATGCTAAACCAGAAGTGTTTTTTTCTTCTGACTCTAAACGTGCTGGACACATAGGATAACATTGAGCTGCTTCTACAGGAGAAACACAAAACTCCTGCAGAAGTAGAGTTTTTTTAAGCCCTGTGTGCATGGAGCCTAAACCTGGATACACAGCTATCGCAGCTATTCATATAGGCAATAATGCTTAAAAGTAGGGCTGCACCAATATCAGTGCCGATACGAAGCATTTTCACCAGTATGGGCTCAAATTGCACCGCAAAAGGTATCAGTAGTCGGTGTTGTTGAGTACTTGAGCACAAGTATCAGTACTTGTACTCACCAACAAAAGAAAAACCCAAAAAACATATTGTGTATCCTTAGTTTAAAGCAGTCTACACAAGTATAAGTAAGGCAACTGTTCTGTCGTAGAATAATCCAAAGCAGATTAAAATAAAAAATAAAAAAAGGGGCAAATGAAATTAAAAAAAAAAAAAAAAAAAAAAATCTTAAAAAAAGGAGAAGTATAGCTAAAGCTTTTTTGGTATACTTCTCCTATGGATCCCAGGAGTGCAGTTAGTTCTACACTTCTGTGACCCATCTGCAGCCGAATGTGGGCATCACAAAGTCGATTCAGGCTCTGAAAAGATCCCAACCATAGGGACGGGATCTACCTAGAACCCTTGACTGGCACCTGGCTCAGCCTCTCTACCAAGAGCCTGAGCCATCCTCTCCTGCCCCCTCCACAGCCTAGCGCTCCAGTGAGCACTGAGGGGGCAGGGCAGAAACCCAGAGACTCTCTGATCGCACTCTTTGATTGCTCAGTTCTATGTGCAGAACTGGCAGAGCAATACTGCATCCACCTAGGTGAGTATAATGGGTTTTTTTTTATTCCCCAGCGCATACTTTTTTTTTTTTTTAGGGAGTTTAGATTACGAGTACAATGTTGCATGTCCCAGGACTTTTTTTTTTTTTCTTACTAGGAAGGCCTTCAAAGAACATTTCTGCTGTGTTAGAATATGTGTTTCAGCACAGTACAAAGAATAACTGCTTATTTCTATAATAATTACATATGTCTGCCTTGCTACCAAAATAACAAAAAAAGGGGACACAAACAGAAAGCTTTACAGGATGTTTGCTGCAATAAACCTAGACAAGTAATTTTATTCTTTGTATTTTACCTCAATTGTCCATTTAGCACTGGTTGGTACTAATTAACACTTGTATGCTCAAACTGAATTTAGCCTCATATTGACATGTTGTCTATATCAACTAATACATTTTCATGCGGTAAGTACAGGTTAGAAAATTTAAGTGGGCAGCTGACTGTTATGAGCTACCAGATACTTGCATATGAAACATGGATGTTTTAAAAATATACGAAATGTATCCTTCTACGCAATGCTTCCATACTAGGGTGTACTAAGGTGCCATAATGGTAACCTGCATAATCAATATTTTCTATTTTGTTTGAAAAAAAAAAAAAAAAAAAAAAAAAAAAAAAAATTGGATTGTTAGAGAGCAGCAGTATGTAAGAAAACACTTTTTTTAAGCACTGTGTCTTCTTCCTTCCACAGCCAAACCAGTAAGAAGAATCAAATTTATATTCTTCCACAGAAGTCTTAATGCCCAAATTTAATCAAAATAACAAAAACAAATCAGCACAAGGGACATTACTTACTATTATTCCAAAATCTCCCTTGTACTGCTGGCTCCTGCTTTCTTCAGCCTCTGAACAAACCCACCTCCCCACAATATTCTAGTGCGGCAGGGGTTAATAGAACGGAGGGAGAGATGACTATGCCCACCCTTTTCACCTACTGTCTCCATTCAAAGAAGCCACATTATCGCTTCTATGAATTAAACAATTATGAATGGAGGATGAACAGATGACCGATTTTTTTTGTTGTCGTCATTTGACTAACCTTAGAGGGCTGATGTCACTCAGCTGGTGGGGGGAGGGGGGGTACAGCAGACAGCGGTTTGACTGACAATCACTGCCCTCTGCTCACAGTGGCGGTGAGAACTAAGCAATCAGCGGTCTTGTGTTCTCACACTTAGGGCCAGCAGGGGACAGATGCAGCATCGGACTGATGCCTCATCTACCTAGGTAAATATAATTTTGAGAGAAAAAAAAAAAAAACAACAAATCTTTTAAATCACAGTGGGACTAGAGCAGTGCTCAAAGAAGAGGGGAGCCCAAGCATTCTTTCAGCAAAGGAAGGGCCTGTGAATATTAGGGTAGGTGAACAGCTCAGGAATATGCAACAACATGAATCTCCCAAGCTTAACGTTAACATGCCACATTTCCATTTAAAAATGCTGAAAGTACAGTAAAAAACAAAAATACCTGCTGATCTTTAAGAATTCAAGTGAACTAACTTCCTGTGTCAGCTAGCAACACGGTGGGGTAGATTTACTAAAATTGGTGCACTCAGAATCAGCTCTACATGGTAGTCAAACAGCTTGTAATTTAGGTTGTTCACCTAAAATGGTAGTAAAGCCTTTTTTTTTTACTCTTACCTACAGGTAAGCCTATAATAATGTAGGTACAGTAAATATTTCCTAAACGTGCACAGAGGAGATATTTACTTTAGCAGCGCCGGTGATGTCACCAGACCATGCACACTGCGCACATTGTCCACTGAGAAGGCCATGCCGTGGCTGAAGCGCCCAGGAGTGACATCATCGTGGCTCAGCCAGTCAAACGGCCGCAGCCCGCGAACCTGGAGGGAAAACCGGGAGAAGATGGAAGCTGAAGGGCTTAGTTTTCAGGTAAGTCTCTCATAATGTGCCAATATGCAATGCATACTAGCACGTTATGCTGTTAACTTGAAGAGAGAACTTGTTTGGGTTTTTTTTTTTTTGCGGTTTACTACAGCTTTGAACTTTGGCAATAAAACCTGGAAGCCAATTGGTTGCTATGCAGAGTTGTGCCAGATTTAGCACTCTCCAGTTTTAGTAAATTACCCCCAGTGTCTCTGCTGCACTTAAACAGCAGGCAGTTTTGTCAGCCCTTCCCAATTCTTATTTGCTGGACTATAGAATTTGTTCCCCATTTCTCATCTCTCTTCAGTAGGTGAGAACTTGAGGTATTTGGATTATCACTGCAGCAAAGACACAGTTGTCAGCTCAAACAAGAAGTTAAGAGCTCACTGGATGTCAAGTAAGATCAACAGGTAGTTTTTGTATTTGCAGCCAGACATACATTTTAAACCAAATCACTTCAAGTAATGCACGCTAAATGTAGTTAACCAATATATAATAATATTTAAAAGTACTGGAGTGCTAATAAAAAAAAAAAAAAAAAAGAAGACGTTCAAGGCATTTGTGTGAACAAGACAAAGTCAAAATCTCCACACTGAATAGTGATGTTTCTTGTAACTTTATATACCATATATACCATACAGATATTTGGCTAATACTCAATATATTTCTATTGAATACTACAGATTTATAACAAGGTCTTTAAGTGGTCTTTACCAAAGGAATGTGGAACCAAAGGATTCTGTCATCAAGTTTACAGCACTGCAGGTTGGAGTATCATTGTAAAATATCACAGTAGAGCCGTAGAAGTAGGGTACAGTAAATGTGAAGTGCTTGCAGCTGTAAATATACACATAGCCCTTGTGTTTCTCCACAAGTTTTTGTGGCTCACAGTCTGAAATTAAATACAAAAAATAGTACCATTTTTTGGCAGTAACTATAAAAAAGAAAACATAATATAAAATTAAGAAACAAGAAAGTAAATATTTCTCAAGTGATATTCTCTTATTTGTACAGTTAGCAGTGGAAATTAACATGTGCTTAAAAGCAACATGTATCGTAACTGGTGTTCTGCAGACCTGTGCCTCACCGTTTGTTCACAAGTACAATAAAAGTAACAATGGCTATAGACAAAGTACACATTAAAAGAAAAACATCATCTTTTATCGGTCACAGTCATGGATGAGTTAGTGGACTCTGTTCGAATTGATGTTGTTTCTGTTGTCCCCGATGATGATGGTGTTTCTGTACACACACTGTGGTCTCTAAAACTGGTGCTCTTATAGTCAATCTTTGGAAAATCTGTATCACTCGACAGGTCATCACATGAAAAATTTAAACTTCCTAGTTTGGCAAGAGAGTGAGATCTCTTCAGAGGGGAAGAAAGAGTGAGACCTGCCAAGCGCATCCTCGTTTCAATCTCTTGCGTCCGCTGTTTGACAAGTCCTGGTTTGCCACGTACACTGTGAATGCTGTCACTGCTGGAACTTCGAGTGAGATTGGAGCTAATAGAAGAGGACGTTGGTGTATAGCAAATGGTCTTTAGGAAGTCTTTTGTAAAACTACTCATTAAATCCATTTTACAATAGCCAGGAGTAGAAGTTTTCAAAAAACCTCCCTCTGACACATCAGCAACTTCTAGTTTTTCAAAACTACTTGTTCGTTCTTTATTAGGCTTAGCAGATTCTGATTGTCCCTCACCATCTTTATAACCACTGGAATCTGTTTTGTCTAGGGGACATTCTTTAATCACAGCAGAGCTTTCACTCTTCAGACGTTCCAGTTCTTTGGTATGTTTTCTGACCAACCCAGCTTTTTGTAGCTGAATAATAGATTCCTGGTGCTGCATTAAATAGCTATGCATGGCAGGTTTTTCCAATTCTTTGCTGACAAATAAACACTTGAAATCCTTAGCATGTTTGGAATCCCTCTTAGAATCAAGATTTTCATAAGAACTTAGACCAAACACTTCCTTCCTTAATTCATCTGAATTGTTGAAGTTCTTAGCAGTTTTTGAAGAAGATGCAAGAAAGTCTTGAGAGTCTGTTTGTATGTTTTGTGTTCCTTTAGAAAATGAGTGTCCATGCATCCTGTTCAATATTACTGATGTCATATGCTGTAGAAGTGCTGGCTGACTGCACACAGTTGGGGTTTCCGCAGTCTCCAGCTTCTGATGTTCTTCATATGCGTCAGATGTCATGGTGGTTGATGGGTACATACAGTCTGTACATGAAGGATATCGAGGTTTAACCTTGCTTAGGATTCCAAAAATGGCATCCTCCTACAACAGAAAAAGATTAAAATTAGAACACTGACTAGAAGCTGTAAAGAAACAATAAAGCAGGTACAGTGGAAAAAAATGAGTATAAATGATGAAAATAGAAGACAGACATCACAAAGTATTTTAGACAGGGGACATGCCACCCGAAGATGTAGCACCGGGTGGGGCACAGCTTAGCTGGAGCCGTGGGGAGTATAGTTCTGCTTTAATACATTCTCTGCATTAAAGTAAAAAAAACAAAAAAATAAACAAATTTTTAACCTCTCTTTCTCGCGGCCCTATAGCAAAAATACTATGCGATTTTGTATTTCCAGGTGGGGGGGGGGGGGGGGTGCATGCTCCCTACCTGCGCTGCCATTGGTGGCCTCAGCGGTCGATCACCAGGTCCCAGCCGACACCGGGCGATCGCTGAGTATCACTGACGGGGGAGAGACCTGTATGTAAATAATACAAATCTCTCCAGTCAGCTCCATAGCAGAGCAATAGAAAGCAATGTGCTGGCACAGTGAAACTGCACACACAGCAAGCAATAAAACAGCACACAGCACACAGCACACAGTAAAACAGCACACAGTTAACCTTTTGAGCACCCCAGATGTTAACCCCTTCCTGCCCAGTGCCATTAGTACAGTGTCAGTGCTTTTTTATTAGCACTGATCACTGTATTAGTGTCCCTGGGGATGTCAGTGACAGTTAGTCAGTCCCCCCCCCAGTGTCAGAATATATATAAATTCCAGTATATATATACCGCCATTTGTAGATGCTATAACTTTCTAGTAAACCAATTAATTTACATGTATTGGGATTTTTTTTTTTTTTTTTTAGCAAAGACATGTAGCAGAATACATTTTGGCCTAAATTTATGATGAAATTTGATTTTTTTAAATTTTTTACTGGACATGTTTATTAGCAAAAAGTCAAAAATATTGTTTTCTCAAAATTGTCAGGTCTTTTGTTTATAGTGCAAAAAATGAAAAACACAGGTGATCAAATACCACAGAAAGAAAGCTCCATTTGTGGGGAAAAAAGGACAAATTTCATTTCGGTGCAGAGCTGCATGACCACACACTTATCAGTTAAAATAACGCAGCGCCGTATCGCAAAAAATGGCCTGGTCAGGAAGGGGGGGGGGGGGAATCCTCTGAAGGGCAAGTGGTTAAAGTAGCTCCCCCCCCACATACTCACCTGAACCCAATCTGGATCCAGTGCAGTGCCCATCTGCAGCAGCTCTTCTCCTCTCTCCCCGCTCTCACAGGCTATGACTCTTGCTGCTGTCAGTCAAAACCTGTGCGCAGAGAGCAAGGGGTGGGGCTGAGACAGGCTGTGTGTCTAAACAGACTCAAACAGCCTGACTCAAGATCGAGCACGCATGAGTGCTCCCATAGGAGGTGGCTTGCTCAGCGGGTAGAGGAGCCAGGAGTGCTGATGGGGAGAAGAGGAGGATCGGGGCTGCTCTGTGCAAAACCAATCGCACAAAACAGGTAACTATAACATTTATTATTGAAATGAAAATAAATTTAAGCTTTACAACCGCTTTAAAGTACCTTTTTATGCGATTTTAAAATGTTAGCATATTTAAAATGGTTGTAAAGCCTAAATAAAGTTTACCTTAATGCATTCCTTGTATTAAGGTAAAAATTTGTTTAGGCATCAATATCCTCCCTCACCCCCATTTTACTTGAGCCATCATTCGATCCAGCACTGTGCCATCTGCAGCTCTGCTCTCCCATCACTCGCTGGTCTTGCGGGATTTGCTGAGGCATTGGGAGCCATTGGCTCCTGCTGCTTCCAATCAAAGCCAGTGACGAGGGAGCGGAGGGCGAGCCTAAGTCCCACTGTCTGTGTAGATGCAGACAACTAGGCTCGGGAGCGAGCCTGCATACGTGCTCCCATAGAAAATGGCTTTCCTGACTTGAAACTGTAAATCAATATAATTTATTGCAGCACTGGAAGTTCACAGCCATGAAGAGTATTGGCATCTCTGCAGATTTGACCAGTATCCTGCTGCCTGCAGGATGTATGTTTTCATATAAACAGTATGGGGGTGAGAGCTTAACATACAACACATCAAAACTGTAATTATAATAAATAAATAAAAGCTAAAAATCCAAGGTATCATGAATGTTAAAAAACAAAAAAAAAACAAAAAAAAAACAACAAGAAGCATTTAAATAAAGCAGCTTTTACTTGATGGTATGACAAAAACGCCAGTTAAAATTATCATCATTATTTCCGTATTATTATTATTGACAGAAACCAAATAGATTTAATGGATGTTCAAAGTATGAGAGTATAGGGGTATAGGATTGTGTATATGGGAGTTTTCAATATCTTTTTCCTGTTAGGTGAACTAGTGTTTTTTTCAGGATAATTAATAAATTGAATACAGATAAAAAGGTATAACACAAAAAGTAACAAGGCAAAACGGTAAAACAATACAAACAGATGTAGAAAAAGAAAGAATGTTACCCCAGTATTTCACATTCCTGATATGTGTCTGTTGTACTATGTACTTATGTTTTAAAGTACCCCGTACTCTTTGTATTGCTTCCTTTGTGTGGAATGCCTGGTGATCCTGCAAGGCACCCTGCTTTCCTATTGCAAACTGACCATGCTAGATAAAAGAGCACGTACTTCCCAGCGTGTTCAGGTTTCCTGCTGTGCTAGGAGAACAGACTACTGGTTCTTCAGTGGTCAGACTTGTGCTGATATGTCCCCCCCCACAAAGCCAGCCATTCACTAGAAGATCAGTGTGCCGCTGTTTTCCACCCCCACTTCTCCAAGCACCTTATGCAGCTGAGAACAGAGGTTTGGTGATCCCTTCATAGACGTTATGCCTTTCATTTCAATTTTAAACTGAATGGATTGTTTTATAAGGTAAGGATTCATTTATACTTTACCAGAAACAGAAGCTAGATGGCAGAAGTTAAATAGCAATAACAAAATGTGCTAAAAGACCTATTGGTTATAAAATGCAAAAGAAAAAATGTTTTCAGTGATGAGGAGTGAGGAAAGGCAGAGGAATAAAATGTTAAGAGAAACAATAGGATAGATGAATTTTCTGGAAAAAAAAAAAAAAAAAAATTACAAATGTGCAAAAGGAAGAGAGTGGAAAAGAAACAGGCAAAGATACAGAGAATAAAAGAGCAAAGAACTGAAAAACTGTCTAATTTTTTTTTAAACAAAGAGGATGAGAATGCAAGATAAAAATAGAATTTTAATTTGAGATGAGGAGAAAAAATTAGAATGCTGAATACATATCTAATAAAACACGCACATAAATCAGAGAACAGAAATAAAGGAGGTCTATTTTACAGCTCAGAAATAGACATGAAAATGCCACCATATGACAAATTAAATACAGTAAGTAAAACAGTATAAAAAGAATGAATCAACGTAAGAAGATGGTGTAAGCTCAAATTGAATCAAGCAAGCAGAACGGACTTTCTGAAAGTGTATACATGAACTAGCAATGGATGAATGCTAGAAGAATGAAAAACTGGAGTCACACTATCCTATAAGTTTTTGTACTTCCTGTAAAATTTTTTCTTGAGGGTCACAGAATGTAGTAACTTTAGACATGTGGGTTATACTGCTGACTTCAAGAGGTGGGGACACTGGCTAACAGAAAACCATTAGGCTCACTATACACATAATCTAACCATACAATCTCTGTACAATCAACCTTACATCTCCCAAAACTATGTAATATGAGGACCTACTTAAACTATCCAATTCGTTTGTATCCAATCAGGTAGGCCTTTTCACTGCATGAATGTTGGTAAATCTAAAAAGGAGATTGTAACGTGTGTGCTGACCCTTAAACCATCCCTTGTATAAAACAACACCTCCAACTGTCACACCTAGGCAAGCAGTATATAAGGCCTAATGACACAGCGGGACTGTACCTGTGTCCCACAATGGACACAGGTATAGTGTCCCACAATGGACATCAATAAAAAGATTTTACAAGTACAAAATCTTATTTTCTTTATCACCCGTTGAAGGACACAGGAATGTAGTAAATTCATAGACATGTTGGACATCCAAAAGCAGTCCAACTGAGGGATAAGCAACAGCAATACTACAGATGTGAAAATCCAACTACAGGGAGTATCTGAGGAGTTAAAAACCTGAAATAAGGCTAGACCAAACAGAGTCAGTCAATCACATATGGAAAGGCCTTAAAAGATAAAACCAAGGATTAACCTGCAGCTTCAAACTAGGACAGGTAATTGCCAGCAATTCTAACTGAACAATGATAGTACACCAATAACAATGTAGAAAGCAACCAATTGAAAAAAAAAAAAAACAAAACACACACACAACTTGAACCAGCAGTTAAGGGCAAAATAATGAATGTGCACTGGGGTAAAGGCTGAAGCCTAAAATGCATAACCCTTGACTTCAGGTAAGGAAGCTATGAGAGGCAAGGTATATTCAGAAAAAAAGTCCAACCAGAGTCAAAAGTTGAAACCCTAAAACCTCATCTCATGGAAAGGGAGGATCATAATAAATATGTTACCTGCTAGACAAATAATCAAATAAGGAGAAATACATTAATAAGAGCATCCCCTCATAAGTAATTTCAAAGGGAAAGAGTGAAAGAAAAAGCCATAAAGTCTAGGAAAACAAAAAAGGTAGCAACCCTGATAACTTTGAGGCTCTATGCTTTAAGAAAAAAAAACAAAAAAAAAACAAAAAAAAAACACACACACCTGTGCTTAGGGCAGACAAAAAAACTAGGGATGCACCGAAATTTCGGCCATCTAAACATTTCAGCCAAAAACAGCTCTATCAGCATTTTGCCAGTAGGAAAAATTTAAACGATACAGGTGCCTATACAGGACACGGTGTACTGCAGATGTGAGGGGGAGGGGAGGGACAGACGGCTGAGAAAGGCAGGAGAGGAGCAGTGTATACAGTGACTGGCAATTGCATTTAAAAACCGGCAATGACATATAGTGACAGCCAGTAAGGGAGCCTCTCTGTGTATATAC